AACAATTTAGTCCTCCACTATCCTTTTCCCCAGGGACCATTATCTCTGTGGGATGGGTCATTCATTCAGCTCAGATTCTTGAAAAGGATGGTAATTTATAAAGTGGGATATAGTGGGTATTCACTGAGCTATCAAAGCAGATAAATTTTTAAAAGAATTATTTATATTCTTCTTGAAAAGAATTATTTTATTAATTAGTATTATTATTTAATTTTGAAGAGAGAGAGAAAGGGAAAGTGAGAAAGCAAATCAGCAGCTCCTAGACTCGAACCATAGTCAACCATGTGGGAGTTCACCATGCCACCTGCTGGCCCCAATAATTATTTATTTTCAAATAAAAGTCGAGGGGAATTTTTAAAAAAGAGTGATTTATTTTTATATTTTTGTTTTTAATTCACCAGAGAGAGAAAGAGAGACAGAGAGAGAAAGTGAGAAAGCAAGCCACCAGACCTGAGATCCGAACCATGGTCGACCGTGGGAGTCCAGCGTTTTTACCACCATGCCACCTGCTTGTTCCCCAGATGAATTATTTAACTCCTAAGAAAATACTAAGCAATTTACCATCCAAACACAATTTCCTTCCCTTTTATCGTTTACTGTTTTATGTGTAGGGCTTAAAAAACATTTTTTTAGTGCAAATTACCTTCCAGTGTAAAAATATGTATAATATACCACTTTCTGGGTAACAACAGAGGTAACTATATATATATATATATATATGAAGGGTCTTCAAAAAAGTTCATGGGGAGGCCAACAGGTGGGGTGGTGGTTGGGGTACTGGATGCCCACATGGATGATCATGGTTCGAGTCCCAGGCCTGGTGGCTAAGTTTCTCTCTGTGTGTGTCTCTGGTGAATGCACATGCCCTATAGAAAATTTAATAATAATAAATAAAATTAAATAAGTGTGGAAATAAGAGTAATTTTAAGAATTATTTATTTTTATTTCTTTTCATTATTATTATTATTTTTATTTGACCAGAGAAAGAGAGGGAGAGGTAAAGTGAGAAAGCAAGCTTCCAGGTTCTGGACTTGAACCATGGTCAGCCATGTAGGAGCCTTACTCCTTAACCATCACACCACTTTCCAGCTACAAATAAATAATTCTCTTTTTTTTTGGAGAAATTTTTGCTACAGGGCACATGCACTCACCAGAGAGACAAAAAGTGAGAAATCACCCCCCAGGGGGAATGGCCATGCCGCAATCACTTCTCCATTCTCTTCTCAGGATTATGGGTACCTAAGCATATATGCCTGGGGTGTTTTAAGCCTCTGGGTCTGCGGACTCTAACCGTAGTCAGCCATGTAGGAGTCCAGCAATGTAAACTTTACACCATCTGCTGGTTCAAAAATAAATAATTATTTAAAGAAAAAAAAATATTAAAGGGGCCTGCAGGCGGCGTGGATGTTAAGGTGGCTGGTCTCTGCAGGGCCAAACTTCGTTGTTGAAGTCCAGGACCCCAAGGCTTGATAAACACCCCAGTGCATGTGCATGTGTGCTCAAACTCTCCAGCGTAGACTGGAGAAGGGATTGCACCGTGGTTATTCCCGAAGGGTGCTTTTTCACTTTCTCTCTTTCTGTCTCAGGAGCAAACGTGCCTTGTGACAAAATTGAAAAAAAAAAAAAAAAAAAGCCTATACTACTTTCATGTCTAACACTTTGAAAGAGTTGTTCAGGTGCTTTGCCATGGGGAAGTTACTGCCAAATTAACATAGCTGAGGGAAAATAGAGCTCAAGTGCTCGGTCAGTAAATGACATCTGTGGATTGTGAGGGAGGAAGTTCAGCTCAGTTGTCCCAAATCACTTGGGTTTTACGATCATTTTCTATTTTTAAAATTCTTTCATTTTCTTCCCAATTCAATTAACACGTTTTTATTTAGCGCCTACTCTCTTCCCAGTAGTGTCCCGGGAATTCTAGGAGATATAAAAGAAGCCTTCATGAAATATTTTGTAAAGTTCTTACCAAGTGTGGCGATCACTGTGGAATGGAGTGGCTAGAAAAATGTCTTGGATACAGTCTTGAATTAAGACTTGGAGAGGAGTGGGAGGTTCCCACAAATGAAATGGGCGACAGGCCCTGCAGCTGTCCTGGGAAACAGCTTGATGGGACCCCAAGAGTGCTGGAGAGAAGAGTTAGGGATGTCAGAGAGATCCGTTTAGATAGTCCCTAAAAGTCAGGCAGAAGAGCTTCACTTTGGGAGTCTACCAGGGAGTGAAAAAATAAGAGGTGCCCCTGGTATTCACATAGGAAGAGAACTGAGAAACCAGAATTAAGGAGACCACCTTTGTCACAATAATCGGGTGTAACATGATGACTTGATTAACATGTACCGGGGGAGCAGACAGGAAAGAATGAATTCATGAAACACTTGAACGAAGGAAACAGCAGGTCTTGATGATGGGCTAGATAAATGAGAACAGTCACACATAATTCCAACTTCTCTAGCTTGGGAGACTAGAAAAGTAACACACGTT